GGGAGGGGGGCAGAGCCGCTTTTTGGGGTAGGGTGGCGTTTCGGGGTACCCTTATTGCAGAGCCCGGCCGTGCTGCGGCGTCTCCCCCGGCCAGGACGGGGTGGGAAGGGATGTCGTGGGGGCTCGTGGAAAGAATTTGAACCCAGGGTCATTAAAATTCTCATTATGAGACAGGTTGTGGCAGGGGGAGGTGCCGGCAGAGGGGTAGCTCTGCCCTGGTGCTGGGACAGAGTGGGGGGGGCTGCCTGGGGAGACATGGGGTCCCCACCATGCTAGGGTCAGATCCAAAGGACCCTTCCTCTTCTACATCGCCCAATTTGGGGAGAAAGATGGGCTCAGCCTCGGGGAAGATGCTCTGCAGGTGGGTGCCAGCTCCAGGTGGGTGCCAGCTCCAGGTGGAGCAGTTCCCCACCCGGGGAGCTCCTTGAGCAGACCTAAGGGGGGGTCCTCAAGAAAAGGTGGGTGCTGGATGGGACGTGGGCCGAGGGTGAGGTTTCCGTGGGACTGGTTGTTTCTTTGGTTTAAATGAGGGGGGGAGGGAAATAAGAGGGAAGCAAAGCTTTGGGGGGGGGGAACGGGGAGGCCGAGGCCATCCCCAGCGCGTGGGGACGGGGCTGGGGAGTGGGGAGCACAGCATCCTCCCGGTGCCACCGGGGAGCCCCGTGATGGCACCCAGGTCCCTTCTCAACACTTCTCATGTACCTTCTCGGTCCTGCCCGGCTCCCGGCAGCGGGATGCGAAGCGGAGGAGGGAGGAGGTGATGGGTTATGTACAGAAGGGTGTCGGTGGGTAACGAGCTGGCATCTGCTGAGATTGGATGGTCGGGATTTTCTTTGTCACTCCCATGTTTCTCCGAGACCTCACGGATCCACACGGGAGCTGTCAGCAAGGACGGACACAGCGGCGACGTGACGGTGTATTGCTGATCCCCTCGGTGCACCGGGTGTGATCCCGGCTGGGATGCGGTCCGGGAGCAGGTAGTGGGTCCCGGAGTCGTGGAGGAGGAGCTGGAAGTTGGGAAAGGACGAGCGGACGGGACGCTGCGGGAGTCGCTGCGGGATGGTGCTGGCTCTGAGCATCTCTGGGCTGGGAGGGGAGCAGATCCCGGAGTCGTGGAGGAGGAGCTGGAAGTTGGGAAAGGACGAGCGGACGGGACGCTGCGGGAGTCGCTGCGGGATGGTGCTGGCTCTGAGCATCTCTGGGATACGGTGCACCGGGTGTGATCCCGGCTGGGATGCGGTCCGGGAGCAGGTAGTGGGTCCTGGAGTCGTGGAGGAGGAGCTGGAAGTTGGGAAAGGACGAGCGGACGGGACGCTGCGGGAGTCGCTGCGGGATGGTGCTGGCTCTGAGCATCTCTGGGATAGGAGGGGAGCAGAGGGCTCTGCAGAAGCCGGTGCTGCGGTACCTAAAGCGACGGTGGTTGGGGACGTGACTGCACGGAGGGTGGCACCGGGGACCGCAGGAGAGCTCAGGCTTGGCGTTGTCCTCCCCACCCAACAGCCACGTGGGTCCCACCACGGTGGGGGGAGCTGACGGGCCTCCTGGCTGTGCCCACAGGAGCAGGTCACCTCCTCATCCTCAGCTCCTGGCCAGGCAGAGATGAGCTGCGCAGGCAAACCTTCACCAGAGCCAGCCAGGAGCTGCTGGACACCACGTTGCAGACTGCTGGCATTCATGGTGGTCCCATTGTTCCACATCGATCGAGGTCCTCCAGGGCTGAGAGAGGCAAATCCCACTGCTGAGGCCAAGGAGCCTTTGGCTTCCCTTTAAATCAATCCCAGCTCAGCTCCTCCATCCCTGGCCGAGAAGGTGCCGGAGCCGACGCGCTCTCCCTGAAGGAATCCCCCCAATTTCTTCCCGTTTTGCTGCAGGTGGGACGGGTCTCCCCGCAGCGCCGCCTCCTCTCTGTCCCCGGGGCCGGGGGGGGTTGCTGCGTGAGGAAAATAATACTACAAAGAAACAGGATGAAGACGCTCCAGCGGCTGCCGTGCCGGCCCCGAGGGGATGGGGACCAGGTTTGCCGTGTTCCTGCTGCTGGCCCCACGCAGCCCTGCCCAGGGGAGCCTCCCTGCTCCATCACCGGCCTCTGAGGCGGCCGGGAAACAAAATCGGCTGAGCCTCCCGGTGAGGGCAGCCTCCACCTCACCCCTCTGCTCTCACAAACCCCTTCTCCTCTCCGAAACGTCTCTCCCACGGGAGCAGCCCGGTCACCACGTCCCTCCGTTTTATTTCTTCTCCCCTTGCCCGTCCCCAGGCGGCGTCTCGGGCTCCCACAGGACAAACTCGTGGAGCAGAGTGTTGACTGTCTCGGGACACTCCATCATCACCATGTGGCTGCCTTCGTCGATCACCTTCAGGAAGGCGATCAGCAGGATCTGGAGGGGAGAAGGGTGGCAGTGACAGGCCTCAGCGCCGGGATGAGCCCCCCCCAGCCCCATGCCCGTGTCGCCACGGGACCCCCAGCCCTCACCCAACCCTCCCAGCCCCACTCCTTCAGGAAGGCGATCAGCAGGATCTGGAGGGGAGAAGGGTGGCAGCGACAGGCGTCAGCGCTGGGATGAGCCCCCCCCAGCCCCATGCCCACGTCGCCAGGGAACCCCCAGCCCTCACCCACACCCTCCCAGCCCCACTCCGTGCCCCCTACCTCAGCCATTCTCTGGTCCTCCTCCACGGGGACAAACTTGTCGTGCATCCCGTGCACCAGCAGCACGGGCACGGCCAGCTCGGCGTGATAGACCTCGTCGCCCTCCGGCCAGTACTGCCCGCTCATCATGGCGCGCAGCACGAAGGAGGAGACGTTGAAGGCGTTGCCTTCCTTCAGCAGCTGCTTTTCTTTGGCACCCTGGCGAGCGAAGCCAGCCCTGCGGGACGGTAGCCAGTGGCAAGCAGAGGGTTAGCCCCCCTCCCCACATGGTGGTGTCCCTACCCATGCCCGTGGTGGGCTGGAAGCCAGGGTGGCCAGGGAGAACCCTGCCCAGCGTCAAGATGGCCACTCACTTGAGGAAGCTCCATGCCAGGCACGGGGACAGGCAGTGCAGGACGCAGGTGGGCATGTTGAAGATGGAGCAGAGGCTGGGCTCCAGCGCTGTCGGGCCCCCTCCGTTGATCATGATCACTTTATGGACCAGGTCTGGGTACTCGTGGGCGAGGAAGGTGCAGAAGGACACCCTGTGGGGAGAGAAGAGACATGGGGGCCATGCTCCAACCCCCATAATGCACCCCAAGGCAGATCCCAAGGATCCATGGTTGGATCCCAGGCTACAACCCCTCCTTTGATCCGTGCTCCCCTTTCTGGGGCAGGATAACCCCGGGCAAACCCCACATAGCCCGGGTAGAGGGGCTGAACTTGGGGTTTCACTCCTGTGCAGGCCAAAGCAGGGTGCTGGGACCCGCTTGGGTGCACGCCAGCCTGGACCAGACTTGTCCTGATCTAATCCTGCCCAGTTCAGACCCACCTCCAGCTCCCTCTCCTCCCAGGGCTGCTCTCTGCGCTGCTTAGTCTCCATCTAATTGACTTTCTTGGGTTTACTCTATTTATAGGCTGTGCTCTGCCAGCTTCCCTGCTGGAGGACGGGCTCTGGGATTAGCCAGACCCAGGGACACACACCAAGAGGATGTAGGAGATCAGAGCTGAGGGATAAACCCAGAACGGGAAACCCCACATACCCCCCACTCTGCCTCTCGGCCCCCAAAGTGCAGGTCCTTCCTGTCCCTAAAGTGGCTCCAGGAAATCTGGGGGGGGACTCTTTATCAGGGAGGGGAGCCGTAGGATGATGGGGAAGGGTTTTAAGGTGAAGGAGGGGAGATTTAGATGAGATCTGGGGAAGAACTTGTTTGGTGTGAGGGTGGTAAGAGCCTGGCCCAGGTTGCCCAGAGAAGCTGTGGCTGCCCCATCCCTGGAGGGGTTCAAGGGCAGGTTGGAGGGGGCTTGGAGCAACCTGGGCTGGTGGGAGGTGTCCCTGCCCAGGGGACAGCACTGGGGAGGAGGTGTCCCTGCCCAGGGGACAGCACTGGTGGGACTTCAAGGTCCCTTCCAACCCGGACCATCCTGTGATTCTATGATTTGTTGGGTGTTTGCTGCCAAGGAGAGGACAAGGGGGGATGGAAACATCCCTTTGCTGCCAAGGAGAGGACAAGGGGGGATGAAACCATCCCTTTCCTCCTGGAAGCCCTCGCTCCCTCACCCGTAGGAGTGTCCTATCAGGATATTCCTCTTCTTGGCGTAGCGCTTGAAGACGGCCCTCATGTCCTCCGCCAGCGCGTAGAAGGTGTAGGCAGCAGCAATTTGGGGGGCCGAGCTGCAGCCGTGGCCAGCCAGGTCGGGAGCCACCACTTCGTAGCCCAGCTTGGTAAAGAAGTCCAGCTGCTCCTTCCAGATGTCCAGCGAGCCCCCCACGCCGTGGATGAAGAAGAGGACCACGTCGCTGTGCGTCCCTTTGCAGCTCGTGATCTGCTTCTTGCAGTCAATGTTGACGACTTTCTTGGGTTTACGCTTCCGGCGCTTGGCGGGGGCGGCCTCCCGCGTGCCGCAGCCCGGCGTGCCGCAGCCCGGCGTGCCGGAGGGAGCCTGGCAGGGAGTTTGACCGGTCACGTCGGAGAGTTCCAGCTCCACGGTGCTGTTGGGTTCCCCCGAGCTGTTCTGGCAGTGCAGGATCTCGGAGCGGACGGCGTCCCCCAGGTTCTCGATCACCAGCTGCCCGTTGCGGTAGACGGTGATCTTGCGTTTGCAGTGCACCGTGCCCCGCTCCGCACCCCCGGGTTGGGGTTCCTGGGGTTCCTCCGGGGTTGGGCGGTTGGGAATGCTGTGCCTGACCCGCAGGATCCTCCCCGGCTTCACCTCCATGAAGCTGTAGCCGTTGCTGGACTCAACGCTGTCCAGTGGCCCCACGGCGTTGGTCGTCTTGCCCATCAGGCAGCAGAGGAGCCCATCGGTGATGCTGTTCAGCATTATGCTCCCTGCAAGGAAGGAAAAAGGGGGGGGACAAGAGAAGAGGGGGTTAATCATGAGCTCCAGCACCCATTGGGGACCTGCTGGGGGTCCTGGCTGTGGCACAGAGGAGTGGGGACAGCCCTGTCCCTCTCCGCGTTGTTGCCAAGGTAGAAGATGCCTCCAGGGTGAAGGTGGTGCTCCCCAAATGCACAGCCCTCCTCGCCCACAGGCAAAGGGGCTTCTGATTCTGATCAAAGATGGACCCAGCGGGCCCCGTCCAGCTTTGTCTGGGCCACATCCCTGTCCCCGAGCCACTGTGACATGTGCTGGCCCAGCAGAGATGAACTGGAGCAGCTGCAAATCCTCACCGGTCCCTGGCACGAATCAGCCTCAGAGGAGGGACCCGCTCTGGCCAAGGGAAGGTGCAGGCAAAGAAAACCCTGCTTGAAGTGAAAACGTTATTTCTGGCACCAAATATGGGGCGAAGGAAAGACTCAGCTCTGAAAATGCATTATTCATACCCATTAAATATATATATATATATACGTATCTCTAGTCTAAACCACCAATACAAATAGTGAGAGATGGGAATCACGGGGACTGGAGATGAAGGTTTTAATTCAAGACACTCCGCAAACCAAGGCTGAAAGTAATATGGCAAGAGAACAGGGGAGGAGGGGGGGGGAACCCCCTCCCCACATCCCCACCTGGCACCACCCGGGCTGGGGGGACGTGGCACTGTCCTTATTGTCCCCAAAGCTTATTTGCTCTTCTAGATGCACTTGGGTGGCTTTTGGGAGAGAGCTGTGGATGCAGGGACCACCGACCCTGGCTGAGAGTGAAGCCCAACCTGAGCCAAGGGCAGATGTGGGGTAGGAAAGGCTGGTGGCACCGGTGACATTGGCACTGGGACCGGAGCTCTGTGCCATCCCGGCGGTGCCGAGGGGGCTGGGGAGGGCCCTGCCCCCCCCCGCTGGCAGCCTGACGGGCGTTTATTATTGAATTAAATAAATATGGTGAATTATTGATGCTGATGGGCAAAGAGAGCCGGAGCGGGCGCTGCAGAGAGGGGCTGTCCCTGCAGGAGGGGGGGCACCGGGTGCCCCCCCCCCAACCCCGAGCGGCTGCTGCGGGTACCGACCACGACCCCTGAGGAGGAGAGAAGGAAAAGCTCGTTCCCCAAAGGGAATTAAACATCTAAATCCCAGCGCTGCTGTCAGGAGCAGCCCACTTAGCTCCCCCAACAACCCCTGCCAGTGCAGCTGGCAGGATTATGGGCACTTTTCCTGGCAAACCGCAAAACGAGGGAATTAGTTTAACAAAATAAGGGATGGAGGCAGGCACGGAGCCCAGGCTGCCGCCTCCTCTCTGCCTTTTAGCATTCCCTATATTTGGGGGAAGCCAATGCTGCATCCTCCTCAGAGATTCAAGGAGCCCAGCCTGGCCCCTGCAAGCTCCCAGGGAATGGGTGGGCTCTGCCGAGAGCTGCCAACTGGGAAAGAGCTCCCATCCCAGCCCGACACACGGATTGTGGGTTTCCCCAGGAAAAAAACCAGGCTGTTTTCTCCAGGCAGGCGATCCGGGTAGCAGTTCCCTTGGCAAAGCTGGAGTGGCTTTACCCGGGGAGCACTGCCAGCTCTCGGGACAGCAGCCAGCTCTTGGTTCTCACCCGCCTCTGTCGGGGACAGTGGCCGACTCAGAATCACAGAATCACAGAATCTTCTAGGTTGGAAGGGACCTTAAAGATCATCTTGTCCAACCGTCAACCTGACTGACAAAAAGAGACACCCACACAACAAACAAGGAGCATCATCACTAAACCAGACCTCCCAGCACTACATCAACCCGGCTTTTGAACACCTCCAGGGATGGGGCCTCAACCACCTCCCTGGGCAGCCCAGTCCAAGGGCTGAGAACCCTTTCAGTGAAAAAAATTTTCCTAATATCCAGCCTGACTCCCATGCAAACACCCTGTAAAGCTCCGGGTGTGGGGTTGTAGGGACTGGAAATGCAGCAAAATCCTTCCTGGGAGCTTCTTCTCCTTCTCACCGCCCGGGGAGGTCCCCGGTGGCTGTCCCTGAGGTGGGGTATGGTAGTCCTGGCTCTCTGTGGTTTGGTGCCTGCATCAGCGAGGGGAGGTCCCCGGTGGCTGTCCCTGAGGAGGGGTATGGTAGTCCTGGCTCTCTGCAGGTTGGTGCCCGCATCAGCGCTCTCTCTTCTGGACACTAGGACATCCCTGTAGGATCTGGCTCCACCGAGAGCTTTCCAGCATCCTCCTGCTTCCCGCTGGCCGAGCACTGAGCTAAACAGCCGTGTCACCCACCGGGTGATCTTCACTGCTCCAGACATGGACCCATCCAAGCTGATGAGCCAAGAGTGGGAGATCTCAGAGCCCAGGGAAGGAGAAGCCAAATCCAGAGCTGGCTGGCCAGGTCTGTTCTGCTGAGCCACGGACGGGTGATGAGTCCAAGGAGCTGGGCACCAGACTGGCTGGAGCCTTGGCTGGAAGATGCCCAGCTGCCTTTGGACTGGGACGGACACTCCACTGGTCTCGCCGTGCTTTTGAGCACCAGTTTAGTGCCAGGAGTGGGCTGCTCTCCATCCCCGAGCAGCTCTGAGCTGGGGAGGATGGAAAACACAGAGGGAGAGGGAAAACCAGGCAGATCCTGAGCTTCACAGTCCCCACGAGCTCCCCACAAGCTCTGCCCGTGACTGGGAGGTCACATCCTGCACCTCCACTGGGAAATGGATCCCCCAGGCTCAGCCCTGGGGACCTGGAGGTGGTTCTGCCTCTGGTTTCCATAAAGCCTGGCTTTGCGCCGCGCCTCCATCTCGCAAGGTCTTAATGATCTCTGCATGGATTATAAACAGGACTTCTGGCCAAACCGCCTCGACATTGATTAACTTCTCGGGATTAACTCAATTAGTCCATCCTGTTCATTTCCAGAATTGATTTGTTGGAAGGCTCTGGCGGTGAGGAGCTCTGCAGGCAGACCCAGGACCCCAGGCTCTGGCCATGAAGCCACCCTCCCAGCATCATCGGTTCTGGGTCCTCCTGGATCCCACTGGGATTATAATCCCTGAGCCAAGATGCCACCACAGGCTGGAGCTTGTGGTCCAGGAGGTGGCAATCCCTGCTGGGGTATCAGACAGAGGAAACACCACCCCAATGCCATCAGAGAGCCGTGCTGGGTGGGAAACGGAGGGGAGAGAAGGTTAAAAGACTCGACTCGATGCCAGGCTTCGTGTTGGGGGCTGGGGGAGGGAAGGGGGGGCAAAGCACACCCGTCTCCCACCTCCCACGTGCCTCCTCCAGCCCACCACACCGTCTGCCGCGGCCGGCGCAGCCAGAAACATCGAGGGATGTTCCCTCGGCGAGATGAAAAAGGGCTGAAAAAAAAAATGAAACCAGATGGATGCGAAGAACTTTGCAAAGATGCTGGTAACCATGGCGATGAGCTGCTTTTCCCCCCCCCCCTCTCTCTCC